GAAGGCGATGTGAAGGTGACAGTAGAGAGTACAGTGGTGTGGCTATGAATCAGGAAGTGTCAGAAAGTTGGTGCTGACAGCAGGCGGAAGGGATAAAGTCCAGCTTCTCCTACAGAGCGCTGCTGACATGTTGGTCTCAGATGTACAGGTCTCAGCCTCCAGGAGCATAAGAGGTTTGTGTAAAGCCACAAAGGTCACGGCCATTTGTTACAGCAACCTCAGGAAGCTAAGAGAATTTGTCAGGTGATGTACATTTACAAAGTTTCTAAATTTGGGCTATTTTGCTGTTATGAGCATTCATATACAAGTCTTTCTGTGGCAATATGTTTCTGTTTCTCTCATAAACAGAGCACATCTCTGTTTCTATGCTACACATAGGCATGGCATTGCTGGGTCCTGTAGGAGCTTTGTGTTTAAATTTTTAGAAACTGCTTATCTGTTTTCCAAAATGGTTGTACTGCTTCCTTTCTCACCAGCAAAACACTCTTATGCAGGTTCCTGTTTCGCCACGTCATCATCAACATGTGGTATTTCCTTTCGGTTTGGTTGTACAGATTGAATAGACCCTATCCAAAATGGCTGAGACCAACAATCTTTCAAATTCCAAAATGTATTTGGGATTTTGGAATATTTGCCAAGTTCAGCATACCTAATCTGAAAATCTGAAATCTGAAATTCTCCAAAGCCCAAACACATTCATGTCATGTCATTTAAAAAGTTTCAAATTTCAAAAGGGACCTCTAATCCTAGTTCCATTGAGGTACGTCCATACTGATTTCCACAGTGGTTGCAACAGCGTGTGCTCTCACCAACAATGAAGGAAGCAGGGCTCCTCTTTCCCCACAGCCCCGCCAGCATTTGTTATTGGTTGATTTCTTGATAGCAGCCATTTTTTGTGGGGTGAGGTGGAATCTCAGTGTTGTTTTCATCTGCATCTCTGGAATGATGATTCGGTGATGCCGAACATTGTCTCACGTATTTATTTGCTATTTCTACTTCTTTGTCTGAGACATGTCTGTTCATTTCAAATGCCCATTTTTGGATTGGGCCTTTAAATTTGGGAGATCTGATTTTTTTTTAAGTTCTTTATATATTCTAGATAGTCGACCTTTGTCTGAGGAAGAGCTGGTGAAAAGTTTTTTCCACATTGTGGGTTGTCTCTTCGCACTATTAGTTGTTTCTTTTGTGCAGAAGCTTTTTAATGAGAGCCTTGTTGATCGTTTGTACTGGAATGTTGGCTAGAGGTGCTTGACCTATTGTCTCTTCAGTGGATATGAAGCGGTTTCTCGTTATGAATTTTCCTAACTTGGATGATGTTGAACAGCCTTGCACTACTCATATGCACACATTTTTAGTAAAATGCAGTCAGATTGTACCTATTTTCCATGGGCTCTTTTTTTTTTCTTTTTCTCCTTATTCTTGAGTTGTAAGGTGGTAGGTATTGTTCACATTTTTTAAAAGAGAAATTTTAAGTTTACTGTAAAATCGAGTGCCATATACAGATTTTTTCAGGTACCTCTGCTCCCACGTGTAAATGGCATCCCCATCACTGTCAGCAAAACCCACTATCATTCTGCATTTTTTAAATAGTGGATGAGCTTATATTTGCAAATCTCCACTCAAAGTGCATTTCATTACACTCAGTGTTTCATATTCTATGGGTTCTGATAAATGTGAAAGGATATTTGTCTACAATGTTACTATCATGCACAGTACTATTGCTGTTCTAGAAAAATCCTCTAGATTTCACCTATTTATTTCCCATTCCCTAATGGTCTCTGTCAACTACTGACCCTTTTACTCTTTCTTTAAATTTGCCTTTTTCCAACGTCATATAATTTAAATCATGCAGTTTGCAGATTTTTTGGATTGGCTCCTTTCACTTGGTAATGTGTACTTAAATTTCTTCCATGTGGTTTTTATTATTTGACAAGATTTAATCTTCTAGTCCAGGGACATAAAATGTCTCTCCATTTAATTAGATATTATTTAATTTTTCTTGCTATGTTTTATAGTTTTTGCTGTTTTAGTCTTTTACTTCCTTTTTTAAATATATTCCTAAGCAATGTTTTATTTTATTAGTATTTCCAGATTCCATTTTCAGGTTATTTCTTGCTATTTTATAGAAATGCAATTGATTTTTTTTTGTACGCTACTCCCATATGCTATAACATTGATGAATTTGCTTTTTAGTTTTAGTGGGTTTTTGATGTTGTTGTTGTTTTGTTTGTTTTTCTTTTCAAATGTTTTAAGATTTTCTATGTACATGACTGTGTCATCTGTGGGTAGACACCTTAAATTCTTCCTTTCCAAATGGGGTGCTTTTGTTGTTTACCTGATGGCACTAGCTAGAAGTTATTCAATAGAAGTTGTTCAATAGAAGTGGCAAAAAGTAAAGACTCTTGTCATTTTCCTCATGCCTTCTAGAAAACTCAGAGAAACACTTACCTCAATTATATTTATTTAGTTGTTAATTTCTGCATTTTGTTTTGTGTTTAATGGTTTCCTGGGGAAATGCCACAGACACATTTGTTAGATTGTTCTTATTGTTCCTGTTCTCAGTAGCAGAAGCTCCACAGAATTAATAATGAACATTCTGGGTCAGTGCTGGGTTGGTGATCTGACTGTGGCAAGTACAAGAGACTGCTAATGTAAAAGTGTGGTAGCATCCTGGAGCCTTATGTATTCAGGCTCCCTGTGCAAAGAATGATAACGTGTCTCACTGTCAGACTTTGGGAGGTATGTGTGGCCAGGGACTGGGAAAGTTTGGAGAGGAAAATGGGGATTTATGGCATAAATTACAATGACTTTTGATTAATTGGGGGAATATAATTAATCATTGTGTAGAGTATCACGAATCCCATGGTTAGTCAGTGGTAAGTATGTGGGTTTCGTGGTGAGAATCAGTGGGTCAGCAAAGCAAGGCTGAGTGACAGAGGACTGTGGATTAGAAATAAGGTTTCTCTGGAATCGGCTGTTGTGTTCTTTAGATGTGGTATGCAGAAATGGAGATTGAAGGGCCTGAAGTGTAGAACCCAGGTCTGGAACTGACGCCTATAGGCTCAGGAAATGGGGTCTTATGTGTCAGGAATGTCTGTGTGGTACTGGTGGGAGTCTGGGTCTATAGCACCAGCAGCGATACTGTTATTGAACTTCTATGTCCCTTCCTGGACTAGGTTAGGATGCAAGCTTCATGGAGATTGCATAAAACAAGAGCTACATCCCGAGAGCACCCGAGCCACAAGTTACCCACAGCCATTCAGCCCAGAATGTCAGCCTTGAAAGGGTTATGGTAGGAAAGCTGGACCTACAGGCTGAACTCAAACAGACAGTATGAATATAAATGTGGAAAACCCAAGAGACTAATTGAAAAATCACCACAAGCAACTATACTGTTTAGTAAAACAGAAATTTGCAGAATTAATTTATAAAATGCAATATACTGGGTACATACAGATATAACACAATATGGTATACAGTGAAGGACGATTCTGTTTGCGATCATTAAATAAATAAACATAAAACACTTAGGCATAAATGTTTCAAGAGTAGACCAATAGACAGATATAATTTTAATTTATTCATTTTCTTGGCAAAAATACATTATCTGAACTCAATCATGGGAAATATCACACCAATTGAAACTCAAGGAATATTGTGCAAAGTAACCAAACAGAACTTTTTGAAAAGGTAAAGGTCATACATAGATTTTTAAAAATTTAAAAAACTTTCTTGTTAAAACAAGTCTAAAGGACATACTAACTAAATAAAAGCAATGTATATTCTTATTGGATCCTGGAGTAGATAGGTAAAATAAAAACAATCTAGTCACAAAGCCATTACTAGGGCCAAAGAAATTGAAAATCAATAATACATTAAGCAAACTTATTGAATCAATGAAAAGTTTCTTTGCTCTGTAAAAAAAAATTTTCATTCTTAGGAGAGACACCGATTCAAAAGTAAAATATAGTGCTGTTTGAAATTTGTTTTCAAAGTTGTTGAGCAATAAAATGTGCATACAAGTTTTTAAAAAACATTCAAATAAAAAGTTCTAAAACATATACAGTAAATCATAAAGAATCTCAAAAGACAATTAATGTAGCATATCTGAAATTCTTCAGCTTAAGCCTCTGAAGTGAAACTTTGAGTTCTCATTATGTACAAAGGACAATGCTCCAGGTAAGAAGAGAAATGAAGAAGCAGGATGAGGAAGGAAACCAAGCCAGAGATTGTTCTCCAGCCAAAGCACTCTCGATAGCAATCTTTAAGTTTAGGGTAGAGGGTAGAGGGTAGAAGTGTAGACCTTTGGCCTCAGAGTCATCTGATCTTTATCAAGACAGCTGGTTTTAGATGCTCCTTTACCAAAATTTCCTTGGTGAATGGCCTTGTCAAGGATAAGAATAAATATACTGTTCTTCTAGCTTTCTACACAGACCAGGTATTAAAATCTAATGAGGTTCAGCCTCACCAAAGCAACAGGGCCAATCAACCATGGGCTGACCCCTCTGAGTCCATGAGCCAAAATGAATCTTTCCTCCCCTTAAGTAGTTTACCTCAGAAATTTTGTCACGGTGTCAGAAAGCTACCGAATACAAATACACTGTTAAACACTGTTTTAGCTCAAGAAAAGTAAATATTTATGTCAAAAGTGAGCAAAGTATTTGCCATCATACCCCAAAGAGTTAATATGTTTAAAGTAGACTTTCTAAAAATAGAGGAAAAGTCTATCGACCCTATGGGGGAAGAAAAGAGCCCAAAATACAGACAAGTCAAGGAAAAGAAATGCAAATCATCCTTAACCTGATGCTACTTGCTGAAATAATTTCTAGAGACATATTTTTAAATATCAAAAATGATGCACTCCCAAGCCTACCTACTATAGTACAGTAGTGCTTGCTTCCCTGCAGCTGCACTTTCCCCACTTTCATGGACCTGCTCACAGCAATCATGAGAAATTATTAGATGAAAATGTCTAGCAATGGAGAATTCATAAGTCTTACATTGCATGCAGTTTGAGGAGTATGATCACATCTCTTGCTGTACCACTCCTGTCCCAAGACACATAGCTTCTTTTGCCCGGCATAGCTACTCCTTCTACATTACCTCCCCATTAGTCACTTAGCAGCCAGCTCAGGTATCAGAGCGATGGCATCACAGTGCTTGTGTTCCAGTAACCTTTATTCTACTTAATAATGGCCCCTCACACCAAAGCTTTATTATAGCATGTTATTATATAACAATATAATTATAAAATATTATAATAGATTGGATTATATATTAGGATATACTGGACACAATTGTTCAACATTGTAATGTACTTGTTCTACTTCATTATTAGTTCTCTTAAACTCTTACTGTGCTTAATTTATAAATTAAACTTTATCATAAGTATATGTATATATGTCTAAGAAAAACATGCTATGAATAAGATTGGATACTATCCGTGGTTTTAGGCGTTCATTGAGGGTCTTGGAAAATATCTCCCTCCGATGATAGAGGATTTCTCTATTATTTTTCAAAAGTAAGCAACAGAAGGCTGTTGCTTCAGTGCACCAAAAATGAGAGACTGGTTGAATAATCTAAAGCATATCAATATTGAGCATTAAAAGAGCAACGGGGAGATAAAGGATGGAAATGAAAGGTGGTTGGGATGAGGCAGAGAAGAGAAATAGCGGGTGGAGTAGAAGCTGGGTGATCAAGTGAAGCTCATCCTGTGCCTTTGGTATTAAGCGTAATCCCCCTCCCAAATCTAATGCAAATAGATTAGGATGCAAATGATATTTTAGAAAGAAAGTAAAAGAGTCTGTTAGTTGTTTTAAGGCTGGCATAACAAAGTGCCACCGATGAGGTAGCCTGAATAACCAGAAATTTACTTTCTCAAAGTTCTGGAGGCCGGAAGTCAAGTTGTCCGCAGGGCTCGTTTCTACTGAGGGGCTCCCCGCTTGGCTTTCTGGTGGCTTTCTTCTTCCTGTGTTTTCCCATGGACATGTGGACTGTGTTCTAATCTCTTCTTCTTATAAAGACCGCAGTCACATTGGAGTAGTGCCCGTGATGAAGTCTTCATTTTGCCTTCATTACCTCTTAAGGAGTCAATCTCCAGGCACGGCCACATTCTGAGGCACACTGAGGGTGAGGATTTCATTTGTGATCTGGGGGAGGAGGACAAAGGGGAACCCATATACTATTTGTGAATGGGCATAGTTAACCATGCTTGTGTGAGCGTGCAGAGAAGAAGGATCCCAACCAACGAGTGCGCAGAATGCTCAGATCACTTTTGCCTAGTTGATTTGCCTGAAGGATGAACAGTGCATGCAAATGACAGAGTGATTGCAAGCGACCAGTACAGCCAGTGATCAAAGTGTATCATTATAGTGAACATGCCCTAGTGCAGGAAAGGACATGCAGATGACTATGCTCCATGAAGCCAGTTGTTCCACAGAAGCTATGGCATACCTTGGCTCAGACTAAAAGAGGGGTGGCTTTTTTAATATGGGGTATAGACTTGTCTATGGTTCACAAGATCATGAAAGCTGGTCCACCCCATCCCTCTCAGGTTCATAGCCATAAGGGAGCACTAGAGATGATTCCCAAACCTAGCTCCATTCCTGTCTACAGCTGAGTGGGGAAGCAAGGCTGGAAAATGATCATGCCTCAGTTTATGCTCTGTGTAATCCAGCACCCTGCATGGAAACCTCATTCCGCTGGCCTTTCTTCTTTTCCTGCCTCTATAAACAGCTTGCCATTCTTGCAACTGTAAAATTCTCGAGCAGATTTCTTACTGCATGTCAGACACCAGTGAGTCCTGGCAAGGCTCTGTCAAGGATGAGGTCCCACTGTGAAGGTAGAAATGGAGAGAAAGAAGAGCTATTTCAGCATTTGTTTTATAGGTCTGTGTGTGTTGTTGTTGTTGTTGTTGAGGGTCACACTCAGAACCTCATGCATGCTAGGCAAGCACTCTACCACTGAGCTGCAGCTTTAACCTTGACAGAGATTTTAGGACAAGTAAATCTTAACTCAAAGAGCCATTTGCTCCTCCTCCCAGCTATACCTGCTGATAGATACATTGGAACCAGAAAGTCAGACTAACACCAGGCAAGGTTTTAGAATCAACATCACTAAGGTAAACCCAAGAACTCTTTCCTTCTCACAACTTCTCCTAAAATAAACAAGTCTCTCCAATGTGCTTTTGATGAGAGATGGTTTCTGAAATCCAGAAACTTCCTTGAAAACCTATCGCTCCTTTTCCTTCCCACTACTGGTCCCAGTGGCCCACTCCTGTTGCACTCAACAGGATCATGTTGCACTCTCCCGATCATGCCATTAAAGTATGATCTCATCAGTGGATTGAAATATTGATGCAGTGAAAGCTTCATGACCCAATGACCTGAAAGTCTTACCTCTGAAGAAATGGGACTTTGGGAGAACATTATGGGTCTAACATAACACACACACACACACACACACACACACACACACACACACACACACACACTTTGGAGTTCACCTTCAACTTTAGGACCAAAGGAGGATTCTGGAAAGAGACCATCTGTGGAGAAAATAGCATCTATGGTGCAGGCGGATATCCTTTGGCTTCGACCTGGATAGTACAAGTTTTTGTTATTTAAAGATGCAAAAGCTTCTGAAAAAAAGGTCATGGTAGTTGCCCTGAATGGTGCATAACTAAATACTAAAGTGGCTGTTGGTCCATTTCAAATGCCTGTAACAACAGACAAAGCAGTGCACCCCTACAAGGTGGGAAATATGAAGATGGGAATTCCATCTACTGAAACTGTTCACAAATTTTCATCACATAATATTATTTCAGAAACTTTGAGGAAATTTCAAGTCTAAGGAAATGGTACTTCAATTCTTAATAATCATGTACATTGAAAACAAAGACAAAATTAAGAGTCCTTTATATATTAAGTAGAAGGTCATCATCAGATTTCTCAGAAAATACCTCCTGAAATCACACATACTACAGAAGTCAAAAGTTACATAAACTGTCTTCATAAGAACAAAATATTGGGATGCTGGATGACATCATTGTAGAATGTCTACAAGGGATGTTTTGCAAAGTGTCTCAAAAACTTTTAGCATTTTAAAAATATTAATTTTCCTCTCCCTGTTGTAAAATCAGTATGTGTTTCATTAATGATATAGAAAAAAGAAAAAAATCATTAGTCCTACTCTTGATATTTAAAAAAATAATCACTGGTAGTATTACTTCTTATTGCCTCATAGCCTTTTATTTCTATTCAGTTCTACTATGTAACTGTTCTATGATTGAAAAAAAAGGAAGTCACTTATTTATCATTGAGTCTCTCTGAGCACCCTCCCCATTTCTGATTAACTGTATACGTTCCCTGGGAGACATACATATCACTATCACTGATTTCAGAGACATTCATCTCTGAAACACATTTCCCCTTGCTTCCCATGTGTGTCACAGCAGGTGCCTTGCCACCGACTGGATCCACAGACCCCCACACACTGAACCTTCAGTTGCCATCACTAGGTAATGTTATATACATCAAATGAAGAAAATAGATTGATGGGGAACTTCTTACTTGTTTCCTGCCATAAGAAAAGGGTAAAGGGTAGGAAGTGGGTGTAGTAAGAAAAAGCATTAGAGATCCTATGGAGATGGAATTATATTATATGCTAATTGGGTTTTTCAGTGGAATTTTACATTTTTAATGTTTTAATCAATGTAATTGTGTCACTGCAAATATCCTGTAGGGTGTTAAGATGTTACCATTTGGAAAACTGTGTGCTAATAGACACACAGATTTCTCTGCATTATTTCTTATAAAGGTCTGTGAATCTATCCACCTTACTCCAGAAAGAATGACTATCATCAAGAAATCGGGTAATAACAAATGTTGGCAAAGCTGCAGGGGAAAGGAACCCTTCTACACTGTTGGGGGCAATGTAAACTAGTACAACCACTGAGAAAATCTGCATAGAAATTTGTCAAAAAACTAAAACTAGAAACTTTATTTGACCCAGATACTCCCCTTCTAGGTATCATGCCAGAAGAGTAAAAGACATCGTATTTTGGTAATATATGCACACCCATGTTTATAGCAGAACAGTTTGTAATAGGTAAATCTTGGAAATGGCCTAAATGTCCATCAACAAATGGATAAAGTGTGGTATTTATACACAATGGATTTTTAATTTGCCATAAAGCATGATGCATTTGAATCATTCATAGGTACATAGATGTGACTTGAAACCATAATACTATATGAAATAAATCAAATACACAACCTTAACTATCTCATGTTTTTTTCTATGAGAAATCAAAATATAAGTAAAGAGCAAAAGAAAAGATAGATAATAGGAAGTAGGGAGATCATTTTCAAATGGGAAAGGGAACAAGAGGTGGAGAGAGAGGGAAGGGAGAGAAAGGAGATGAAAAAAATAATTGAAAGAAAAAATGTAAATAGGCCTCCTGCAAATGGGAAACAGGCCAAGCAATAGAAAGAACAAGGCAGAATAGGAGGGAAGGGGACGAAAACAGGATTAAGAGGTGTTATGTACATGTACCAACTCCCCATTATAAATGGAGTCATTTATGTACTGCAAAAGTACAGTAATAAAAATAAACGGGGCTGGGAATTTAACTCAGTGGCACCATCCCTGTCTTGAAAGCACAAGGTCCTGAGTCAAATCTCCAATACCAAAAAAAAAAAAAAAGTCTGTGAGTCTACAATTATCTTGGAATAAAAATAAATGACTAGACATTAATTCATATAACAGCATATTAGAATATCGAAAGCATTTTCCAAAGGTAAAAAAGGCAAATATTTAATGTTACATATACGACCATGTTCATGTGGCATTATGAGAGGAAAAAAACTGACTTTTTCCTCTACGGATAAAACAGCCATTGCTCAAGTTTGTGGGAATTGATGGGAATGAGAAGAAGAGGGCTGCTTGGGGTTGTTATGGTGATGGAACTGCTCTGTATGGTGTAGAGGTCATAGACACGACTGTGCCTTTGTCAAAACCATAGGCAACAGACACATGGCAGCAGGCATAACAATTCCCAATTTGAAACTATACTACAAAGCCACTGCGATAA